AGGGCTTATTTGGGCTTAGGGTTCCAGAGGGATAGGAGTATCACCATCACACTGGAGAAGTGTGACAGCATCCAGGCAGGCGTGGCGGTTGGAAGACCTGAGAACTCTCAACTCAAACTCCAAGCAGGAAGCAGAGAAATTAAACTGGCAATAATGCATGACCTTTGAAACCTCAAAGCCAGGGCCATAATCCTACAGTAACAGATGTCACGCCTTCTAAACCTACCCAAACTCACTGGAGACCAAGTATTCAAATGCTTGAGACTTGGGGGAGAGGGAACAGACACATCAAAACCACCATAGCATTAGAAAGAAGTGGGCGTGACATCTGTCACACAGATCCCACAGAATGAAAGATGCAAGTTGTGGGGCCAGAAAGCTCGGAGGAGGGTGGGGGACAGGAGCAAGAGTGAGGTTGAGACGTGCCCAAACCCCGAAAATCTTATCCTGAGACATGTCTTGGCTCACGTGGCCTTGTGACCACCACCTCTGCCACCCTTGGGGTGGTCACAAAGCCTGGTGGCCAGGTTACAGGTTGAACTTCTTCTCTTCTCTCCTTATAAGGAGATGTTCAGCAAGCACCTGGAATTCCTCTTCATGGAAAGGAAGCATTCCCAGGCCCTCGGCCCCAGCAAGAATGTACACTCACCCCCAAAACCTCTACCCCACTCCCAAAGGCTTATATAGCCCTTACTCCTCCCCACCCCACCCCCCATAAAGGGAGTTGTTTCACTGAAAACTGTCTCTGTCTCTGGAGAAGGGTGTTTTTCCTGCTTGCACCTCACCCACCCTGGCTAAGCTTCATCCCTCCAGCCCAGCCCAATGAGCAATGAAAAGCACACCCAGGCAGGAGCAAGCGACGAAATAAAACATACAGCTGGAGACGTCATTTTTATGAAAATGGCCAAGGATGTGTATTTGGATGTCTATGTTTCATATAACAGTTTTTATGGAGATGCACATCCCAGCTTAACCAAGTATAGGACTGAAGGGGAACTGAAGAAGTTGGTTTTTATTATTATTTATATAGTGGGGCTACATGCATTTTTACAACGAGCAGGTGTAACTTTTAAAAATAAGGAAATATTCTAAAGAAAGCTTCTGTTTATAACAATAGCGGAGATTTTGCCATTGAAAATTATGGATAACATCCCATTTTCTGAGTTTGGAGCAGCTGCTGGCTCTATGGGAGCTGAGTGACGGGCAGGGAGGACAAAGCCACAGTCCTTAAATTGTCTTGTCTCCACATTTCTTTCAGTTTGGGGCCATCATCTCAAATGTAGTTACTAAGTTGGGTTACATGAGATTAAGGTTCATGTGAAGACCCTGGAAACGGCTGAAGAACTGACGAAGGTCCCAGAGGCCATGCACGGTCAACATATTGATCACACACCAAGAAGACTAGATCAGGGCATTAGATGCATGAGTTCACCCCAAAGCTGGTGCTTGGCTCAGTCAGTCAGGTAATCAAGGAAAATCTATCCAAAGCAGATTGACAAACTGCATGTAAGAGGAGGCAGAGGCAGGCGGATCTCTGTGAGTTCAAAGCCAGCCTTGTCTACAAAGTGAGTCCAGGATAGACAAGGCTACACAGAGAAACCCTGCCTCAAACAAACAAACAAACAAACAAACAAAAACAAACCAAACAAAACACAAAACAAAAGAGCATATGAATATTAAATTACTAGCAACTCCAAGACATTTTAAAGAACTGTCTGAAATGTCCTTTAAAAAAAGACGTCTTGCTCACTTATATATGAAGATGAAGGCTACTACTTTTTGTATGCTAACGTAAAAGATTTTTATGAATTTGTTTTTAAAGAGTCTTGTGGGGGAAAGTTGTTTTTTGTTGTTTTGGTTTGGTTTTTGTGTGGTTTTTTTGTTTTGTGTGGTTTTTTGTTTTTTATTTTTTTGAAACAGGGTTTCTCTGTGTAGCCTTGGCTGTCCTGGAATCCCTTTGTAGACCAGGCTGGCCTCAAACTCAGAGATCCACCTGCCTCTGCCTCCCGAGTGCTGGAATTCAAGGTATGCACCACCTCAACTGGCTGGAAAAGATGTCTTGCTGTGACTTTTATAATCTACAGAGAAATAACTTGCCCTGTTATAAAGACCAAGACCTTGCTAAGAGAGAGATTTAATGAAGAAGAAAAAAGTATTTTAAAGTCAGTATTTTAAAATGGATAGTTCGGGAATTTTTTTTGTTGTTTTTGCATGAAAATTAACACCTGAAATCTAGCAATTGCAAAATTAATTTGGGGGTAATTGGCCCAGTGGGCAGTGGGGTTTGCAGCCAAGCCTGATGACCTGCATTTGACCCCTGTGAGCCACTAGGTGGAAGGAGAATCAATGTGTTCGAGTGGCCTCTGCCCTTCAAACATGCATCCTAGTGTAAGTGCACCCACACACAAAATTAATAAGTAATTAAAATTTTAAAGAAAATTTATTTCATTAAATACAATGTTCTAATATACAGTTGATTTATGGGCCCAAGCTGATTCTACAACTTTCTTTAAAAAAAAAAAAAAATTCCCACTTAGTAGCCAATTTGGGGGACTATAAAGCATCAAAAAGAACAAAGTTAAATGATTTTAAGATATCCAATAAACAGTCTGGAAAGATGCCTCAGTGGTTAAGAGCACTGGCTGTTCTTCCAGAGGACCCAGGTTTGGTTCCCAGCACCCAAATGGTCACTCACAACCACATGCAACTCCAGTCCCAGGGATCTGACACCCTCTTCTGTCCTCTGGGGACACCAGGCATGTTCCCAGTGGGCAGACACACATGCAGGCAAAACACTCAAACACGTATAAAAAACTTTTAAAGGACATCAACTAAAACTCCAAAAAAGCCCATTGTGATATTCAAAGAGAAAAGCAGACGTGTGAGGAAAGTAGAAACAATCCTTAGAAAACCACCCCTTCATTTTGCTTCAGGACAGTAGCTCAGGCAAGGATCAGCCAGTTACACTAAAGCCCCAAATCCCAATTTCAGGAACAATGTATCCACATAATCTCCCAGCAATGCTAACCATTTGCAACATAACCATACTTTTATAACAGAGCCATCACGTGCACCAACTTAACCTAAGGATGGCTATACTCTTCAGTCATAAAGGTGTGGACTGAAGGCTCTTGATGTGAGCTGACACAAGTATATAACCCCCGTAGTGAAATATTCCTAGAATACTTAAAGGCAATCCGAGGTTTGCTTATAGGAAGCACACTGGCTAGATGCTACAACACAACAGAAGAAAACAACCAAGTCTAGAGAACAGACTTTCTTTAAGGCAATTATTCCAACTTTTAAAAAAGCTTTTTAATTTTTTAAATTAAAAATTTGTAGTTTTTAAAAAATACAAGTATATTATTCTAAACTAAGAAGACTAGAAACCTATATAGCCTACAACCAGTTGCAATGTACAACATCGGTTGACTCCTGGTTGCAATGGAAGAGGGTGCAATTGAAGCTGGGTGCTGTGGTGCAGACCTGTAATCTCAGCACTCAGGGAGGCAGAAGCAGGAGGATCTCTGTCAGTCTGAGGACAGCCTGGTCTACAAAAGAGTCCAAGACAGCAAAGGCTACACAGAGAAACCCTGTCTCAAACAAAAAGACAAATAAAAAAGGAATACATCCTTGAGTTTTTAGAGATAAAATACACATGGTGGCCCATGTGTTTGATCCCAGAACTCTGTAGGCAATGGCAGGTGGATTCTGAGAGTTAAAAGGCCAGTCTGTTTACATAGGGAGCTCCAGGCCATCCTGAGATACACATTGAGACCCTATCTAGTAAATAAAGTGTTATGCCCAGTTCGTGAGACCCCCAAAGACCACCAGGAATCAACTCTGCTGCAAACATATGAGGGTTTATTTAATACAAGCTGGAGCCTGGGTGGCAATAACCTCCTTGGTGAAGAGGAGGAGTGTGGCTCCACTGTCTAGGGGAACAAGGTTTTTAAAGAGCAAAACTGCAAGGGGCGGGTAGGCGTTACATGATTGGGTAAGGGAAATTGAAATGATCGGTTTACTTTCGGTGCCAAGGCCATGAATGGTTCTGGCCTGGCCATCTGGGCCAGTTTCCTAGCAACTGTATCTCTAGTGGGCAAGAAAAGAATTCGGTAAGGCTAGTTCCTCCCCGAAGGTGGCTGGCTATGTCTCCACCTGGCTGGCCTTCATTCAAGCTTGTGCTTTAAACTTTAAACCAATACCCAGAATTCTTTGGTCTCTCAAAAGAAGCAGTGTGCAGTAGGGAGATGGCAGGATTGCCATATGGCTTTGGCCTGCAAAAGCAGCAAGCTGGCCTCATGCAGTTAAAGCAAACATGGCAAAAATGCTGTAACTTTTGCATCTGGGTGCTGACTACACATTTGTTTACTGCACTGTCAACTTTCCATATGTTTAAAAAAAATGTAATAAAGACTTGGGGGTGGTTTCTTCCCAAAGTCATCTAAAATTGGGCATGGTGGTGCACATCTGTGATTCCAGCACTCACTGAAATGATTTATGAAGCAGGACTGTGAGAATTCAAGACCAGCCTGGGCTAACTAGTGAATTTCAGGCCAGCCTGGGCTACGACTTCAGAAAAGAGAGAGAGAGAGAGAGATAACAAGACATACTTCCTAAACTTCTAACTAAAGAAATGGCTTGGGGGGCTAGAGAGATGACTCACTTCTTGTAAGAGTTACAAGGTTCAAGTTGTACCCACAGAGTAGGTAACTCCAGTTCCACAGGATCAAATATATTCTTCTGAGCACCGACCACACACATGGTCCACATCCACACATGCAGGCAAAAAACATTCACACAGAAAGTAAAATGCATGAAAATCTGGCAACAATAAAGCCTATCTTAATTATTGCAACTAACATCCCACTGCTAGTACAAGTCAGTATAAATCCCAAAAACAACACCAACAGCCAGCACAAGATCTATAGGTGTAAACATCTGGTTTTTATAACAAATAACAAAGTTAACAGCAATAAAACAGATCATTTAGAACAGCATATAATGTGTTATATTAAATTTACACAATGATATATATAAAACACATACTGTTTATATCATACAGTAGTAATTCAACAACAGAGATATCAAAACAGGAATCCAAATAACTACTCATGCACAAAACATGCATATACTGGTATTTTAAGAACTCTATTTTACACAGTTCTGTTTACCAAAAACTGTTTTTAAAAATTTAAAGCCCTTCTAGTTACGTCAGTGGTCCAATGGGAATTGGAATGCACTAAATGTTTAGGCCAGTGCTTGGGCGGCACAGTGCTTGGTGGGCAATTCTGGGCTTGGAGGCATGCCCTTTAAGGGTGAATTTCTTTGCACCAAAGGACGAACATTTTATCCCAAAGGCAAACCTTTTAAGGGACAAATAGTAGTACCGGATACAAGTTAGGAGCAGAGAGAAAGGCATCAAAAACTACTGGATATGTGGCCCAAGAAAGGGTTCCTGTAACGAAGGCTGAGGCACTACACGCGGCAAAGGTTTCTGTGAATCCCTTTAAGGTCCGATCAGTCTCCCTATCCGGGCTGCCACCTCCAGATTTACAGTCCGCTCTACGAAATTCTAAATCCAGTAAAAAGCGTACTTCTGAGAAAAAAAACTGGATAGGGAGACATCTGAGAAGTGTTGATTATATTTAAAAACTTACAAAAAGCAATGACCCTTTTTTTTCTGTTTTGTTTTGTTTGTTACCTGTTCTACACAATTGTAAATAATGCCCCTCAATGGGGAAGCCCTTTCAGGGATGCAGCTCTAAAGAATCAAGGATTGAGTTCGCGTCTTAAAAATTCCATCCACCGACCTTGGAAACAAAAATTCTCATCGGAATGAAACCTGAACATCACAAACCTGCACTTTGCCAGACGATCGGGGAAAAAAAACCGCTGATAATAAAACTTCATTCACCACCATTAAAGACCATCAACATTTACTTCTAACTAGCGATACATCCTTCAACCTTCCATTAAAGGCACTAGCGTCCATACATGACGACGAAACATAATTTATCTTGAGTTTATCCCAGTAAAAAGGAAAGTATCCCATTGAAGTATGACACAAATATTAAGACACCACCCCCTTTTTTTTCTTTTCTTTTCTTTTCTTTTTTTTTTTTTTTAGAGACTGGCGGGGAGGGGAAGACACTCGCTACATCAGCTCCTCAAACGGTCGTCATCAGTTTCAAAGAGCCGGACCGGAAGCGGAGGATCTTCTTCTTGAGGTTGTGCGAAGCCTTGATTTTGACAAAGGTTTTGGTGGGCCGCGTGTGAAGGTCTGGGGCGGGGACCGTTTGGATGGGAAGAGTCTGGACAAACTGGGACCAGATCAAGCCCCCGCTCTCCTCCGAGTCGCTGGTGGTGGTGCTCTCGCCCACGAACTCGCCCTCGCTCACGCTGGACTCGCTGTCGCCGAAGCAGTTGGTGGTGTAGTTGCTCTGCTCGTCCTCGCTGGTGTCCACCACCGTCGAGTGGAACAGCGACTCGCACTCGGCCGAGTACTCCGAGTCGCTGGCCACGTAGGCGTAGGGGCTGGCGTAGGGCAGCGCCACGGCCACGGGGTAGGCGCCCGCGTGCTCCCGGCGAGCCCGCCGCGCCCGCCGCAGGGCCTCCTCGTAGGAGACCTCGGCCGAGGACTTCCACCGGCGGTAGTCGGTTCGCTTGTGCTTCGGTTTGGCCACCACCGGCTCCCGTCCGTGCGCGTGCGCCCTGCTGGCCGCCCTATGGCCGCCGGCACCCAGGGGCCTGCCGGGAAGGCCCGTGTCGGGCAGGCCTCCGCCGCGCCTGCCCTTAGACGAGGCCTTCCTCAGTTTCTTATTTGTATCCGAGTCGTCAGGGAAACGGCACTTCTTGCCCGCGGCCCTCGGTTTCTCCCTGACGGTGGGCAGGCCGTGCTCCGGGGCGCCCAGGCCTCGGGCCTTCAAGGTGGCGCTCCTTGCCACCCCCGCGTTCCTGTGTGCACGGTGAGGCCTGGCCCCTGTATGCTGCCCTGGGATGAACTGAGCTTTCACCAGCTGCCCCTCCTCGAGGCTTTGAGAGGATCCCTCGCTTCTGAAGTCCAAGGCCGGCCTGTTCACCGCAGGCAAGGCCTGTAGACCGCTCTCCTGCGGCACCTTTTTCTGGGGCTGCAGGGCTTTGCTCTCTGCCGGGACGACGGGGCTTCTGCCGGGACTTGCTTTAGGAGAAACAGCCGAGACTTGGTTGCTTTCCTTCATGGACTCCCCCAGCCCGACCGGACACCTTGAGAGCTCTTGAGAGGCTGCCTTGGTGGTTTTGGGCAGGTGCTTGCTTTGGGGTTCTATGGTAGCGCCTGCCGAACAGCCCTCCGGCAGAGCCATCCTCTTGCTTTCTAACTGCTCTGTCTTTGACTCTTTTGGCCTCTGCTTAGGTGGGGAGAACGGCCCATTTTCCAAAGAAGGTATTCCCCCAGAGGGCAAACACATCTGTTTCGTATTCTTAAGGTTCAAACCACTGCCCTGTGGGACACCACCAGGGGCCCTGACACACACACTTCCATTCCTCAAAAGCCCCTTGGTAGGATCAGCGTTCACACTGGTTCTGGGCTTATTGGTCCTTACAGGGTGTGTTTTCTTCTGGACCAGGCTCAGAATGTAGCCATCCATTTTCTTACTGGAGGAAGGATGAGAAGCCGACCACAGACTGCTCGGAGATGGCAAGGAACTATCTGTTTTGGTGGCATTCAGTTCGGATCCAATGCAAATATCGCTGGCATGGCTCCCAAGCCCCTCCTCTTCCCTTAGAGAGCTGCCCGTCAGGCAAAGGAGAAACATTGGGCTCTGCACAGCCACAGCATGCAGTGGACTCGGGTAGCGATATACATCATTCCCATTTTTAGACACAAGATCACACTGGTATTTAGGATTCACATCTGCAATGACATCAAGGGAATTAAATTGTGGTGTGCAGGGGGAACTGCAAATTGCCCCTGAGGCCTGGTCTTCACAGTGGCCACCTTTACATTCCAGCCATCCTATGAGATCTGAAAAACATGTAAAGATACACTGAAGAAATGAATTGGTAGAGCCAACTTGACTCTGGCCAAAGTTTGCTAAAGGAAACATAGTAGAGAGAGAACACCAATGGACTGGGAAATACACTACACTCGCTCCTCTACAAGCTTACCTAAAGTTCACAAATTACTGAATGAAGGCAAAAATATTCAAGAACGTCGACAAAGTTTGATGTATCAGGTCTTTAGCAGAAAAAAAAAAAAAAAAGTAAGCCATACATAATGCTTTGAAACTACTGAATGATGTAAGGAAACACTTTGTGAAGCTTAACGGAAATCATAATGCAAACAGTAATTTTTAAAGTACCTATGCAAAGAAACTCTAACGTGAAGCACACCAAAATCTTAACAGTACCCTTTGCAGTGTGATGAGGGAAAAGCGATGTTTACTTTCGTCTGTTTCCAGTAGCTGTACTTTATAACATGGGGGGTGGGGGGGGTATTTCTTTTCTGATATACTCTCCCTTCTCTTATTTCTCCTTAAAATACTTAAGATTAATTCTACTTGCTGTGGGCTTTCTCATTTTTTTTTAAACTTTCCTGGTGGCATCTATTTAAAACCTTTGGAGGGGAATCAACAAAACAGATCAAATCTTTTTTTTTTTTTTTAAGGAGTATTTTTATTTTTAATTGTGTGTGTGTGGTAGTGCAGGCACCAGAGGTAACAAAAGGGTATCTGGAGCTGGAGTTACAGGCAGTTGTGAGTCACCCAAAGTAAGTGTTCTGCAAGAGCAATATGTGCTCTGAACCATCAAGCCTTCTCTCCAGCCCCCACATTGTATTACAATAACAACTAATAAAATTTGACATTCTCTCTATTTTCAGTAGTGACACTAAAACAGAATTTTTGGTGAGATTTTTACAGACTGAGCAGTTTTGAAGGATAAATTTCTTGTGGATGGAGACAGTTAAGAACACTTGCTGCTCTGCAGAGGACCTTGATTCAGTCCTCAGCACAAAAATGACTTATTAGCAGCCCTCTGACAGCGCTAGAGGCTCTGACGCCCTCTTCTGGCCTCTGTGGATATGGTATACATGTGGTACACCTACTTAACATACATCCAGGCACGTTCATGCACATAGAACTGTTTAAAGGACAGTCTCCTTGCATTTCAAAAATAAGTATGTCAAAATACAGTGAAACAAAGCTCTTAGTTAAATGTTGGCTTCTACCTTGGAAAATTATTTTTATAAGCTTTAGTTAGGAAAATTTGAAGTTTCCCTCTATTCTATCTATTTAAATATTGAAAACCTATGATGCATCAAACTCTGTGTTGACTGTTTTAGGGAAAGCTTTCTGACCTTCAGTAATTACGAGCCTTGTGAGGAAAAAAACAAAAATAATCTGGACTCCAGAATAACATAATTTGTAAAGAGGCTTTTTTATTTTTTTGTTTTGATGAAAATGCCATGTCTGTCCCTACTCAATCTCTAATAAAAAGCTTGATAACAGTAGAAAGCCTAGCATGGTGAACACCCATAATCCTAGCAGGAAGCCATAGAGGGCAGAGGTGCCTGGAGTTACAGCCAAAAGGAAGGAAAAAGACCTCTGAAGAAAAGAAAGGACAGGAAAAAAAGAGAAAGAAAAAAAGACTTCTCCAGCAAGCATCATTTCCCATCACCTGCCCCTACCTTAAAACCCCAATTATTTTTGTGTTAAAGTCACATTTGCCTTTGAGTTGTCATTTATCCACTTTCTCTACTTCGAGCAGAACAAAACAGGCCCCCAAGGCCCAGCCCGACTGGCTCCATTATATAAGGATGTGGCATTTGGAAGAGCCAGGGGTCTGTCTTCAAGGAAAACCCGTCCAAAGTGTCTTTTAATGGGTTTATAAAGTTTCCCTCTGAAACCAGATCTGCAGAGTGATGGGGAGCAATTAGCAATGAACTTGAGGCCCAGACACTAGATAACAGGGCTCCATACTCTCCCAAATGGCTGATTACTGCTGACAACACACACCATACAAATACAAAGGTTTGACCAATTAGCAACTTCAGCTGCTCAGTATGATGTCTGCTTTTCCTGGACTCGAAAAATCAGCCTTGTACTTTATATGAAAAACATGGAACGAAGTGGCTCCTGCCTGTTCCTCCAGCAGCTCTTACACTATTTTCTCTGCTGTTCTGTATTAGCAAAATATAAAAGTAATGAGGAGTTATGACTTTCAGGGTCAATTCTCTGGCAATAGCTGCCTGATAGGCTTTTAATCAGATGAGATGATTAAATATAACCATTTCTGAATTTCCTTAAAGTAATGGGCGAACATAAATTAGACCTGAGTTTGAATCCTGTTTTGAGCCAACTACATAATCTTAAATCACTTAAATAACCTCATTTGGACTCATTTTTAAGTTTTATTATTTATACAGTGCTCTGTTTGTATGTATGTGCACACATCAGAAGAGGGCATCTCATTATATAGATGTTTATGAGCAACCATGTGGTTGCTGGGAATTGAACTCAGGACCTTTGGAAGAGCAGATAGTGTTCTTCACCACTGAGCCACCTCTCCAACCCCATGGACTCATTTTTTTAACATTTAATTTTATGTGTATGTGCCTGAGTGTATATGTACCACATGTGTGCAGGAGCCTGCAAAGGTCAGGAGAGGTCAATCAGATCCCTTGGACCAAGAGTTACATATGGTTATGCAGGGACCCGAATCCAGGTCTTCTATAAAAGCAGTAAGTGCTCTTAACTGCTGAGCCATTTCTCCAGCCCTTCATTTTCTTAATACATAAGTTAACAACTGCACACTGAAAAACTTTTGAGAAGACCAAGTATGAAGATCATCATAAGTTCTTCATCATTAACAATATCATGATTATCTCTGAAGCCTGGAGGAGAGAATTATAACACAGAGATTGGGGAGTTTCATTAGGCGTGTATTCTGAGAAATGTGACGGGCCACTGCAGCAGTCCTTGGCTGGTGATGGACATATGTAACTTAATGTGTACTTTAAAGAATAAAAGAGTTCCAGGATAGTTTTCAAAAACCAAAACCATAAAGAGCCAGAGATACAGCTCAGGAGTAGCATGACAAGGGGTACCCCAGAAACACAAAAAAAATGTAAAAAAAAATGAAGCTATATATGGTATAGTATGTGTTTAGAATGTACAAGGCCCTGGATTCAATCACCAGCCTCAGAAAGGAATGGGGAGAGAGGAGGAAAGTTAAACAGAAAAAAAAAAAAAAAAAAACAGAGCTCAATATGTCTGATATGGGGACAATTCCTCTAAAGGCAAAGTGTCTTTCTGATTCCATAATAAAAAGCCAAATGGTGCCCAAGGAGATGGTTATTCTAGATGTTCATCTAGATCAAAGTGTAGTGCATGCAGCACAATGACCAAATTGTTGTCCTCTCAAGAAAGCAGCTGAAGCTACAGCACTTCAAAGACTCCTGACCTCTTCCAGTTAAAATTTCTGTCAGTGCTAAAAGTCCTTACCTGCAGATTTGGGGCAACCATCTGAGATAGTCAAGGCTGTCTCCAAGGGGCTGCAAAAGCAGGTGCTGGAATGACAACTGGACAAACATTCACTGAACACGGAGTTAGAGGAATTAGAAAGGGATCCCGAAGCCCCATCACTCAGCTCATAAAACCCTACAAGTAGAAAGATGGTTGGAATTAGGATCACATTAAGCAATAATACACAGTAATGTTAAAAAGACAAAAGGGTGAGGCATCAAAGAAAAAAGCTGGGTTTTGATTCAGCTTGGGGATTGGTTCACACACACTGTGGATTTTAGGGTCCTGGTAAATCATGTAACTCTGGGTTCAGTTCAAAGTTCCTTTCATCCTCCTCTTTGTTCCACCTTTAAAGGTGTATAAAAAGGAATCTACATCTGCCAGACCCTCAACTTTATTATGAATGTTTCAGAAGGAATAACCAATTTCTCTGGGTATAGTGGCTCGTGCCTATAATCCCAGCACTCAGAAGTCTGAAGCAGGGGCATAAGAGTGGATTCAGGGTCAACCTGGGCTACCAAAAAATTAATTAATTGTTTAAAACCCGAGGTAAATAGTAAATAGATAAGTAATTTAAAGAGAAAAAGAAACTTAAGGAGCCAAATGGCTTAAAAGAGGAAGGGGGGGGGGGCACAGACTGCAGTCTCAGGAAGTCAAAGTGTGACTAATTTTCTAGCCCAGATCTGACTCTCTCAGGTTTCAAAGGAGGTCTGTTTGCTCTTCCAGAAATCTGAATAGAAGTTTGTGTTTTTTAAACTCAGGGGACATTGGGCAGCTCAACCTTATTACTGAAATTTTTGCAGAAATCAATAAAATTACTGATTTTATTTCCCTCTCGAGCAACTGAATGGTGGGCTGCTTTTCAGTTGTTTTCCCATTGGAAACAAACTCCATAGCCATTTGCTAGGGTGTTTCCCTTGATTGCAGAATTCTGAGCTGCTGCTGGCTGGCTCACCTGAGCTAGGCCGGCTGTCTGTCTCCAGGTGCTCCTCAGAGGTCTTCTCAACATCCAGTCTCAGGTCACTTATCTGCTTGTCAAGTTCTTGCAACTGATTCAACAAACCAGCGTCTCTTCTCCTCAAACAGTTCTGATTAGGAAGAAGCAGGGAAAGGAAAAATGGGCACATGACGAGAAAATCAGAAAGCCTTCCATCCAAACAGTCCCTCGATATCAAAATTCTGCAAGGCATGCCCTATCTTTAAACATTACTCATGTGGGTAAAAATGATGTACAAGCCTGATGATCTGAATTCATTCCCTGGAACCCACACTGGAAGGAGAGGCCCGGCTCCTGAACGTTGCCCTCTGACCTTCACAGGAATTGTGCCACACAACTGCACTCATTTGCATACACCAAACACACAATAACACATTTAAAGATATATATATATACATAAACATGGCTGAGTTGTAGCTCAGTACTAGAGAGTTTGGCTGATGTACACTAGCCCTGTGTTCAATGCCCAGTACTGTAGGTGCAGAAAAGACTTGTTTTTAGCTTTCACTAATCTATACAAACTGTGACTTTTATATAGGTAAGGGCAAGGAATTTGTATAGACTTTGAATCATTTGACATGCAGCCAGTTTAAAGAAGATCCTGCACAGTAGGCTCTTGAAGTCAGAGTAACAGATTTCCTACATTACACTCTAATCTTTCTTAGGTGAGATTTTCTGGCCAAATGTCATGGCCTACAGAATTTTGTTTTCTATTAGTTGCTTAGTGGGGCTTAATCAGTCTTAGGGCCTTTGAAAGCGAGAAATTAATACTAATAGCCAGCGCCAAGCATAATGTGAGCTGGCAGAATTCAAAACCCTCCAGGGAAAGCCCATCAAGAGTTGAACTGAGCTTGGGTTTCCAAAGGTGACAGATTGGTTGTGCTAACTCACACTGCCACCTAGTGCTTCCTAATGCTGGAAAAGCAAAAGAACGCAAAAGGCATCTGGTTCGAATCAAAAATGCCAAGTCTACAAATGAAAATAGTACCATAAACACTGACTGGAGTGGAATTCTCCCGACACACGGCCTTGCTCCCCTGAAGCGGACAATAGGAACGCAGAACTCACCGATCTTGAGATTCGTTTAGACAAAAAGGTGCTATTGTACAAGACAATGCTGAAGTGTAAACGACCAGTCACAACCAGAAAGAACCGGCTTAAATCCACTTCACACAATTCTGTTCTATTACCAAAAAACAGTAAAAATGCCAAAACAGAGCTATTGCACAAACTACAGGACACATCCTTACAAAATAGATACACAGAAATATGTAGTCCTTGCTTGTGACCTGTGACCTTTAAAAGGTTGGAGACGTAAGCCACATGCTTGTGTGCTAAAAATTTAATTTTATCAGAAAAAAAATGAATAAGTAAAAACACTTCGATGTTCAATAAATACACGAATAACCTAGAAAACTGTAATACAAGAAACACGTGACAACCCACAGCATCACTTTCGGAAGACCATTATCTAGCTTAAGTGGTCTAATAAAAACGTGATGGGATAAGAATCTTTTTTGCTGTTTCCAAAACTACATTTTGAGGTCACTGAGACAAAGCTGCCGCCATTATTTTGAGGCGGCATCAAAAGCTGTTCTCAATTCATGAAGGTCCAAAGTTCTTTTTCCTCCTTGCTAATGAAGACTGCACAGAACGACGGAGGCAGTGACAGAAATCCAATAAGATAAATACTCCCAGGGAGCAGGTTCTCCCTTTTCCCACCTCCACCACGCCAAGCACAGCTGGCAGACCGGATAAAATTCGAGAGGAGGGGGCGAGCTCTCGGGCCAAATTGCCAGTATTTGCATCTAGTTTTAGCTGCCTTATACAAAGGACTTCTATTTTAAAACTGAGCACCATCCCAGGCGAAAGGGACTCGCAGGGGACGGAGCACGGGGAGGGGCACGGCTCCCAGCAGGAGCTTCGTCGTAACGGGAAAACTCAAAATGTTGGACGGTCGGGCAAGCCACATGCCCCCCCTCTTCCTCGCTTTTGTGCGAGGTTAACTAGGGAGGCGACAAGGTGAAATGGCATTTTTAAGCGGGATGGGTGGTGTCGCGAGCCTCTGAGGACCGGGGCACGCGGTAGCCTAACTTTCAGGCTGCAACCAAGGGAGTCCGAGAATTCCAAATGCGGGATGCAAAAGCGGGTCACCCCCCCCCCCGGCCCCCGGCCCGCAATCCGCGCGAGGTCGCCAGCTCCCCAGGTGACACAAAGCAGGCGTTCGCCGGGGACGCGTGCGAGTCCCCGGGCATCCGCGACGCCGGGGGGTCGGGGGAAATCGAGGCTCGGGACGGGGATGGGGGGACGGCGCTCACGCCGCGACCGGGGATCCCACCAGCCCGCCACCTACCAACTGCCTCCGCAGCAGCAAGATGTTCTCCTCCAGGAACTTCTCCTCCAGGCGGCTGCGCTGCGCCGCGTCCCCCCGCGGCTCCCCGGCGCGCGGCGCGGCGGCGCCCACGGCCCCGGAGCAGCGCAGCGCGCCGCGCACCAGCAGCTCCTGGCGTTGCCGCAGGTAGCCCAGCTCCGCCAGCCCCGCCAGCGTGGCCTCCTGGCGCTCGCGGGTGCGCTGCCGCTCCGTGTCCGCCTCGCCCCTCTCCCGCCAGCGCCCCTCGGGCTCCGCGCCCCGGACGGGGGTCGGCGGCTCGGGCTCGCGCGCCACGTCGGGCTTCATGACGCACCCCGACCCCGGCCCACCCCCCGCGGCCCGGCCAGCCCGGGAGCAGCAGCGCGCGCTAGGGCCCCGGCCGCCAGCTCACGCCTCCGGCGCTCGCATCCCCGCGCCGCTCCGGCCCGCGTCCCCGCAGCTGATAACGCCCCGACCGCGCTACGTCACGCCCCGGCCCCGCCGCCCCCGCCGCCGGCTTGCGGCGCTCGGCTCCTGTCAGGCGCCGCGGCCGCCCGGGCTCCGCCCCGGCCCCGCCCCGGCTCCGCGCCCCCCCCCCCCCCCCCGGAGCGTCGGCCCCTCGGTCCCCCCTCCCGTGCCGTTTGGCTCCGCTCCGTCGCCGCAGGCCGTGGCGGGCGCGGGCCGAGCGTCCTGTTACAGCCAGCCTCGAGGGCCGGCCCGCGGGGCGCCCTGGCTCCGGGCTCCTGGGACAACTTTATGAGACTTAACCCCTTCCTCAGGCGTCCACGCTCCGAGGACGCTCCCTCGGAGTTGGGTTTCGCCATCCCAAGCTTAAGGTCCGCTGGGTGCTCGGAACACCATTTCTGCGGTTTGGAGGTTGCCTTTGTCTAAAACTCTTATCTTGTAACTGGAAGAAAAAAAAAATAATACAAAGCAAGGACATTGTTCCAAAACTCTCTTTTTGTTTTAGCTTTTCAGCAGAAGCCTTGCTTAGAAGGCATTTAAAATCAAGCAGAAGGATGCCGCTGTAAGGCCAGCGGTCCCATCAATTCCTGCAAACGCCTGGATTTTATGAAGAGTGGCCAGTGAGCACCTAGGGTTTAGGGTTTTATTGTTCCTTAGCCTCTGTTCAATAAAAGCCCTGACTTCTAAAACAGACTATCTGAAGCTGATTCCTGCTTCATCCACAAATGGGAAGTTGAGTGCCCTCTTCTTGGCGCCTCCTTTATACCCAATAGTAAAATGGGGCTAACAGACGTGCCTATTCTAAGTATAGTGACAAAGGTTATGTAACACACATGCGGTGGTCCTGCACATAAATCTTAAAAGTTCCCACCCTCAGCCAGGCGGTGGTGGTGCACGCCTTCACTTGCAGCACTTAGCAGGCAGAGGCAGACGGGTCTCCCGGGTCTACATAGTAAGTTCCGGGACAGGCAGAGAAACCTGAGAAACAGAGAAATTTGACCTTGTGTCCTTGGCACCTCTGAAATTGAATTTAGCAAGTCACAATTTGATGAAGTTAAGACAAAGTGTTATGTGAAGGAACACATTTCAGGTCATGATTTCAGAATTTCACACCTTTGTCCAGATGGTTACTCCAGCAAGGAACATATCTCTCTCTCTCTCTCTCTCTCTCTCTCTCTCTCTCTCTCTCTCTCTCCATTCGTTGTCATCAATACACACACACACACACACACACACACACACACACACACACACCACACACTTTGAACTGGTTAACTGCGTGAATGTTTGGTCCTTCTCACATGCTGTTGACTTGTTCTTTTTCTGGGCACACACAATTTGTGTACTTAGGTGTTCCTTGTGTGTTTTTCTCTCCAGCTACATCATAAAAGCTCCCTGAAGGCAGGCACTGTTTTAATACCCTCATAGTATCAGTGTTCTCACTCAGCCCAAGGCCCAGAAGCATGCAAACTGATAATTGCTAGAGGAGACTCCAGAGAATTCAGGTTAGTTGTAAATTGTTTTTCTATTAGCATACTTTTAAACTTAATAGTTCCCACTTAATCTCTACAACAAATAGAATTAAGTTGACCTTTACCGAAAACGACACAAACAAAAGCAAGCTCTCTCCTGCCACCCACTCTCACACTCCCTACCCTCCCACCCCAACCGGAGACCTCCCACAGACATAAAAGGGACATCAGCCCTGGTTCATAACTAGCATGATATAAAACGTGGAATCATATTCAGGTGTTCCCACACAGTCAGGGTCCACAGGTCACACATTTTTATGCCTACTATGTGCCAAACACTACATGGTGATACAAGAAGTAATTCTGTTCCCTAGTTTCGGGAAGACACTTAAGAATGTCTTGTTTTACATGCCAAAGGCCGCTCTCCCCTGCCACTGTTTCATTCTACACATTTCTAAACAGACCTTTTGCTTTCTAGTTCTGAATCAGGTTTGCTTCTAGCTAGGTGGACCCTATTATTGTGGCCTGTGTTATGTCACACATTGACAACTATATTTATACAGTTGAAGCCGGGAGGGGAGAGCTGAAACGTGTTTTTACACACTGCTAATAAATCTTGTTACAGCTGACAGACAAGTCGCTGTGTCTCCAAACTTCTCCACCTTCCTACCTCCCCCAACACACACACACACACACACACACACACACACACACACACACTGCTCCCCACCAAATGCCAGTTTAGGCTGGCTTGCTAGTCCAAAGCAAACCATTTGTCATAGCAGCTTGTTCATCTCCATGAAAAACTGTTCTCAACAAGTTTAAGTATTAAAACTAATGTATGCAAAGGGTTCCGCCAATAAAATGGTCACAGATAGGGGGGGAAAAGTTACACTTTCCAAGGTATCCATTACACATTAATAAATAAAGCTGTTCATTCAGATGCCAATTAAAACAAACTCGGGCTGTCCAATGAAGTACGAAGCAAGGAGCTCAGTGTTATAATTGTTTTTCCAGGAAAATTCCCAATGTCATCAGATTATGTGTGACTGGCCTGGTTGCCCCTGTTCTTTTCTAAACCTAACAGCCAAATATTCTGCTCTCTAGTTTAGTTTTCTGGGTTTTCTTGATTCTTGGATTCTGTGTTTCATTGGTAGGTAACAAGGAGGCAGCTGCCAGTAATCGCCCACAACCCTCCTCCCATGACCAACAGGGTCTCACCGTCTGGAGTGGCTTTGAGTCTTTTTTTCTCTTTCTTTTAAGCAATCCCGGTGCTTCTTCCTCTAATAGTGCACCTTATCTATTTCTTTTCATGTGTGTTCAGTGCTAGTTATGTCTTAAAGAAAGGATTATTCTTTCCAGGAACCTTGCTATAGACTCCCAGAGAGTGTGACATTAAAGATACAATAGACCTGCTGCCTTGGGGATCTGGAGAATGAGCTAAAGGTGCCAACAAGAAAATATGTCAGTTGAACACACTGCAATTGTATAACTTATGCCTAAAGATATTTTCTAAGCAGTGCCAAAAAGGGTCCTTGCATCATAGTCTGAAGCTGCCCCCTTGGGCAATTCCTAAGAGCACCTCCATCAAAGTCTGAGCAGCAAGCAGGGTCCTGCCAATTCCTTATCCTGCAGTGAATATTCTATTGCAGGCATAGGAAGGGGCATCAGTTGGACGATTTGCTATTGAAAAAAAAAAAAAAAAAGGCAACAAAAGATGTCGTGCAGCGTTAATGGCAAAAGAGGAAGAGGTGAGGGGGGGGAGGAGGGCGGGGGGGGGGGGGGGGGGGGGGGGAGCAAAGTGCAATCCTTTGAGATTGGGTGATGACCACCATTTGAGGGTCTGGGATCAAAGCTCTAGTCAGACATCAAAGCCCATTTGAGTCTTGTGCCAAAGGAGCCACAGTGAACTAAACTTCATATACAGACTAATTACAGCTTGACCCCACAATCAGACGTCAGGGAGCACACAGGGGAAAGAAAGCCGACATTGAAATCAAAGATCAGCAAGAAGGAAAGCTGGTAGCAAAACTGGGCAGTATCATGGCCCTGAACACGTTAAAAACCTTTCGAGGACAGAGTGGAATATGACAATGCTTGTGTTGTTTGAAAGACTGGGAAACTCTTCCATCCTCTGGGCCACATGACCAAATACATCTCATCCCTGGAAGAAAAGGTTGTCTTTTAGTTGTGTGTTAGTGTCAAAAGAGGTCCCTTACTGCCGGGCTTCTGTTGAAGAGGCGCAGCGTGACCTCCAAAAATACTCATGTGTCCAAGACTGACATGCCCTGGGATTGCTAATCACTGATAAGCCATCAACATTGAACTGCAGGGCTCTAACCATCATGTCTGCCCGCCACCCCTGCAGACTCCAGAGGCACTGAGCATGCACCACGAAGCAATGAGGAATCTCTCGAATTCAGGCAAATCCGGGTAGCTTCCTTAAGCAGCTGTATGAGTTTGGTTTTTGTTCTCACTTTGCTCTATTGAAAACATTCTCCAATCATTTAAAGTTATCAATCTCACAAACGAATAGGCTTTTGCATGCCCGATTTTAAGACCCATGACTATTTCTTTGTAAATAATCATGAGTGGCTTCTGGAAATGGCGAACTCTCATGTGTAACATGAATAATCTCATGAGAAAAAAATGTAGAAAAGGAAGATCCTCATAGGATAAAAGCAAAGATGAGTCCATCACCATTAGATTGTACCTCTTTGTGTGTGTGTGTGTGTGTGTGTGTGTCTATGTCTGTGTACCACATGCACACAGTATCTGCAGAGGCCAAAAGAGGACATTGAATCCCCTGGAACTGTAGTTAGGGCTGGTTGTGAACTGCCATGTGGGTGCTGGGACTTGAACCTGGGTCCTCTGGAAAAACAGCTGTGTCCTTGATGGTTGAGCCATCTCTTCAGCCCTAGATTACAAGTCTTTAAACAACACTTTGCTTACCCAACGGATATTTATAGGGTACTTTGTACATACAGTGGTGGTCCAGCAAGACATGGTCTCCAGCCTCATGAGCTTTGAGTCTGGGTCCTGAGGCAGCCTTGATTAAATGGTGAGTAAATAAATAAGCGATTAATATTTAAAGAGAAAATCTGAAACACTATTAATAAGAATATTAGTAGAGCTACTGTTGGAAATAGCATGGAAATTCCTGAAGAAAAAAAAAAAAAACTAAACCTATAAATAGAAGCCATTCCACTCCTGCATTATGCACCCCATGGAACAGAAGGAAAGGTGTATTGTCACGGAGATATTTGTAGTCTCGTGTTTACTGCAGTGCTACTGATAAAAGCCAAGATACAGGGTCAGCCAAGGCTTTGACCAGATGAATGGATAGAGGAAGAGTGGTATCTGCACATAATAGAATATTAGCTATAAGAA